CCCTAAGTCGATTTGACAACTAATAGTCGTTATTTTCCCACTTGAAGACATTTTCAAGCCCCACCTTTTTTAGGGAAGTTCTCTTTCAAATGCCGTTGGAATTTAACCTTTTCATTTTTTTTGGCCTGCAAATGGGACATAGTACCTTTAATGTCTGTTCTGGACAAAATATTTGAAACATAAGTGGAGGGGTCTACTAAAAGCAGGGCTCCTATACCATATACACCTAGATAAATAAGGGAGTTTGGTTACAATATAATTTAGATAATTAAATAACTGATGAAAATTTGATTACTTTAACACTATACTAATAAATACACCTTTTCCCTCTCCCTTTTTCTTTTCTCTTTGTTGTTCCACCATTCGCATACGCAGGGCAAACGAAATTATAGCGGAATAGAAAAAGATGAATAAAAATATGGGCTATTTCTTGAACACACACACACACACGCAAAATGGTAAAATGAAGGAAAATCGAAGTTCACAAAATCCAGAAATAAATTTACATGTGAGAGACACGACGTGACGACATCACCAGGCTAGACAGACCGCTGTAATCCGTATGCGAAACATACAAATGTTTGCCGGGGGAATTCATTGCTGATTATTTAACGTACGATCTAGCTTGGAGTGCTCAGGATATTACATGATTGGCAGGGGGTTTCTCGATTTCACCACCCCCGGACATGGATTACAAAACTCCGACAAATTATTATTCAAAGCGTTCCCCCCTTCTTTCATCAAGAACGTAATAGATACGTATTCATGATGATATAGCTGGGATTTGGAAATACAATGACAACGCGTACGTTTCTCTTCTTTCTTTCCTCTTTTTTTGTCATTCTATTTTCCACTATTGTCCTCGGTTAGATGGTGTCATGCAACACACAGTCGACTATGCTTACGTAGGTGGGAATTGAACATCTACACCTCATTGGAACAGAACTACTTTAAAGGGGAAGTCCACCTTGATAAATATAGCTCGTCTTAACAAAAGAAAAATAACTAGAGCGACAAACTAGTTAAAGTTTGAGCAATTGATATCCGATTAAAAGTAGGAAAGTTATGCTTTTTAGAATGTATCATTAGTAAAACAGTAAAACAGTTGCTATTCAATTCACACGTTAAAAAACTGTGGCGGTTTTTACCGCTCCAAATATTTTGTGAAGATACCATAACTGTTGTACGGAATATCCAATACCGACAGAACTGGAAAAGTATTTTCCAGTTAAGTGACCCAATTTTGTCGTCCATCCTAAACGAAGTCATTCAAAAGAAGATAACAAATATCTCGGTACATCTCCAACTCCAGGAACATTGGAATCATCCAAAAATTATCAGATTATTATTACGACCGGGGAGCATAAAAAGAAAAATTATGCGTATCTTCATTTCATTGTCACGGTTGTTTCTACATGATATTGAGGTTAGAAGATGCGGCCTGGCTTTGTGCATTTATACAGGTAAAGACATTTCACCGAAATTGATATTTGACCTGTAGGTCCAGATCAGGGTTTCTTATCGTGAGACAGGTAATAACGTGTTCCAATTTCTGTATTGCAAAGGGATGCAACGGGGCATTTTTTTGTATTCCTGGAGGGCGAGGGGTTGGAGGCAAAAATGTCGAAGGAATACAATAGTTAATCATGTACAGAACAATGTAACATATTTCCTAGAAAAAGAATATAAATGTACTTAATTATATAGTTTCGGTATTATGTGGGAGGGAATCAGAGAATAGCTACGGGGAATATTTTGTTCATTGAAGGAGGGGGGGGGGGGGTTAAATAAGAAATGTCGAAGGAATATAATAGTTCAATACGTACAGAACAATGTAACATATTTCATAGAAAAAGAATATAAATGTACTTAATTAGTATCGGTACTATGTGGGAGGGATTCAGAGAATAGCGACGGGGCATATTTTTTATGGAAGGAGGGGGGGGGGGTTGAAATAAGAAATGTCGAAGGAATATAATAGTTCAATACGTACAGAACAATGTAACATATTTCCTATAAAAAAATATAAATGTAATTAATTAGAATCGGCGCTATGTGGGAGGGAATTCAGAGAATAGTGAGTCCTTACACAAAGGCACATATTCCATATTTTGCAAAATAATTCGTGCAATTATTCCTAAAAATAGTGGAAAGTGACATTGAGTACATCCGGCTGACGACAGATGATTTGTTCTACAAGGAGCTTCCGTTAATCATCCGTATTGTCTTAACATCTTTATATATACATACAAGTATGTATAATTATGTATATAAAACGCGAAAACGGTGAAGCGGAGAAGTTTCATGCTTCTTGATCATTTATTTTTGCATCATCTTATGCCAATACGTGTACTTAATATCGGAAATGGTTATACATACGAAATCGAAAAAGGGGTTTATTTTGTTGATGACACGCCTTTGAAGATCTTTCACATATCTTGCCCACCTATTATTATTGTTACGTCCTTCACCTTTACAACCACTCCAATCAAATGTTAGTTTTATTTATGGGAACCTATAATCTACAAGCTGAGCTTTTTAATAGGTTCTTCATATTTCACCCTGTATAACCTTCTATTCAATACAATTAATTTCGACTTCTTTTCAAAGAATTAGTTATATAATGTGACACTTTTAGTATATTTCATATTATGTTCTAATGTTGTCAATTACGTGAATTTTTTTTGTGAAATGTGAAACAAATAAACTTGAAACATGAAAACTTGAAACATACAAATTTGCATGTATTTTAATTACAACAGGTGATTAATCGCTTTGCATCTATCAATAATACAATACAATCAATCCTGAACATGTTGAAAGCACGAAGAGTAAATATTGTGTCTATGACCGCTATGCTATGCCCTCAACTTTATGGTGCTTATTCACGATATAAAATAGTCAGGTTTCCAAATACTTATTATGTACCCTAGAATATTGGAATCTCAATTTCCATGCACATGATTTTTCTTTGATTATTTTCAGCTGAAAAGATCGTATCCATATATTGCTATTTTTCTTTCTTGTGCTTTATTCATTTGAAAATTAGTTTTGCTGATGAGAAAAAAACGGAGGGTTAATATGAAAAGCCCAGAGATGAAATCGCCTGAAGCAACTGAATTCGGGATGCCCCGAGTAGGAAAACCCTAAGACGTTTTATTGAAATGATTCAATTCACTCCAATTGACTCGTCATGCAAAGTAAATACGACATCCCTCCACCAGCAATAAAACGACTCGAATGAACTAGGGACTTATTGAGGGTTTTTCTCTCGACAAACAAAAAAAAGGTATATACCAGAAGAAAAAAAACAGCATCGGGATGCATTTTTATTTGGATTCTAGGCTTCGCTCATTGCGGCAGATGAAAAATAAAGGGCAAAGGCAGCATACATAATTATATTCGTGAGTGTGTATCATTTCTCTTTACGTTTGATCTCATTAATTAAGGGTATTGTCAAGACGAAACTATAGAAGTAAATTAATTACATTTTACCTTTTCATGCAATTAATTTCCCCCAGACAAAAGAGTCGATTATCTAAGATTTGAGGTCGAGTAAGAATTCGTCCTACTAAAACAGAAACGTGATTAAATTATTTTAAGGTTATAGATTCAAAATTGATTCAAAAACTGACTAATTAAAAAAAAGGATAAGAAAATAAGATAAGAGAAGCAGAAACGATTCATAAGGACAATCAAACCGTAGCACGATTGCAAAAAAATCAATTTGTGGGAATTTTTTTAAATTTATGATTGAGTGTCCATAAAATAGCACTGTTGTGAGTTGTTGTTTTTCTTCATCACAGCACAGTACAGTGTATTTGTATAATAGCTGTGCTATATGAATAATTGATCTAATTATTACAGATTATTTTTAACACCCTATTGCATTGATCAAAAATAGAAATATATCATGGTCAGGTTATGTGCGCGCATGTTATTCCATATTACTTTATATTTTCCACCCTTCTGTGTTCAATCTGTTCCATCTTTTCTATCATACTCCTTTAATCTTTTTTCATCATCCCTAATTCTCATTCCCGACATTCATAATTTGCCCCGCTCATCCTCTCGCTGATGTATTCCTTCTCTTTATCTCCTTCTTTTTCCATCCCATCAACATCTTGTTCTCCTCTAGTCTGTTTCTGCCCCTTGCAAGATATTCGTACTTTCCATCTCTCAACTCTCTCTAATAGTTTCCTAGTAATATATAGTATTCCATTTACTCCTCCCCCAACCCCCCCTCTCTCTCTCTCTCTCTCTCTCCCCATCCATCTCCCACCTCTCTCTTTCCCTTCTCCACTCTCTCTCTCTCTCTCTCTCTCTCTCTCTCTCTCTCTCCCTTCTCCTCTCTCTGTCCCTCCCGAAACAATCCAGCTATTTTTGTATGTATTTATGATTATCATTGTAATTTCGACGCACACCCGTCTCCGCCTCTCCACTCTCTCTCTCTCTCTCTCTCTCTCTCTCTCTCTCTCTCTCACTCCTTCCTCCCCTCCCTCTCTCTATCTCCCTCCCCCTCTCTCTATATTTCACCCACTCTCATTCACCCCTCCCTCTGTCTCTCCCTCCCCCTCTCTTTCTCTTTATTTCACTCACTCTTATTCACCCGTCTCTGTCCGTCTCTCCCCTCTCTCTTTCTCTATATCACACTTTCATTCACTACTCCCTCTGTCTCCCCCTCTCTCTCAAATTTCACCCACTCTCATTCACCCCTCCCTCTGTCCGTCTCTCCCCCGTCTCTCTCTATTTCACCCACTCTCATTCACCCCTCCCTCTGTCTGTCACCCCCTCTCTCTCTCAAATTTCACCCACTCTCATTCACCCCTCCCTCCGTCTGTTTCTCTCCCCCCCCCCCCCCCCTCTCTCTCTCTCTCTCTCTCTCTCTCTATTTCACTCTCTCATTCACCCCTCCCTTTTTCTCTCACCTCTCTCACCATGATATCTGAACTCTAAAATAGTGAAAATCCACCAATAATAAAAAAATGAGCCTTGTATTCTTTTTTTTTTTTCCTTTTTTATTCACCATTATTTTCATAATATATATACTCTTCTATATGTGACAAATATACACAATATACACATTGAATAACCTTACATTACATACAAACTATATACAATAATAAAATCACTTATCCAAGAAAAATGTTACATGTCGGGGTATTCGTGGATTAAACTTTGATTTCATTTTTTTTCATCAAAGAAGATAAGGAAAGGACAAATGTGAAGACTAGAAAAGAAGTGTCGGAGGACGAATACAGTGGGCCTATAATACCATATATTTCGCAGATTGCAAAGTTTGCATCTTGCAGAACAAAAGTAAAATTCTTAAGCCCAATGAATTTTAGATTCAACTCTCCTCAATGCTACACAAGTTTTAATGCCTTTGAAAACTGTATTACGTACAACTAATATTACATCCTTGAGGAATAAACAATCTATTGTTTCCTCATAATGTTACACCTCATGCCAAATCAGTTATAACACGAAAAGCAATGATCAATGCATTTAGCAAGCACATAACATGAACTAGATATACTGTTTGGAAAATTGGAGGGCAAACAAAAGATTCAGTGAAAGTAAAAACAATATTCTAGGCTAACACTGTGACTCAATAATAATTGCATCTTAGTGAGAAATGCTAAACAGGACCTTTCTTCCTGGTGAAAATAGTAGTTATTCCAACAGATCCATGAGGATACAATACAATCAATCATACTATGCATATACTTTACAAACTTGGCTATTGCATCACACATTCAGTCAGTGCTGTGTCAACAAAAACTCGATAAAAATAAACAAAACGTATACATGCAAGATTGCAGATGACCTACTCTTAGCACAACAACATTGGCTATATACATAACATCCACCACTCAAAGCTTATTATAGGGTGTCAAGTCATGCACATTTGGAGACTGTTAACACCCTTCTGGCTCTCAACACATGATACAATATATGTCTAAGACAGAAGAAAGGACGTTTCATTACATGGCTGGTAGCCATAATAAATATCTGTACATATGTAAACATTCATCTTCTCAAATGCGACTAAGGGTCGATACAGTAAACTGCCGCAAAATAAAACAACGCAGCTGTGTTTTTTTGATGAAAATGAATGCAACTGCATGCAACAAAGGTATTCACATATTCAATTTAATAGCTCTGGCTTATTTCTGCCTCGCAGAAATTTCATTACATCAATTACAGAGATTGAGTTTTGGCAATTTGTGAGTGTTTTCCTAGTGAAAAGGTGTTATAGTATAATTTGTTCTTTAAACCTCCTGCTATACATCCTTTTTTTTTTAATTTTCCATTTTTTTTAAAGAAGACATTTATATCAAAGTTGAACTAACTGTTGTAAGGAAATCCAACCTTAACAGACATTTACTCCAACACAAAGCAAAACAATTACAGAAGCAGACTGGTGACAGTTTGAATTAAATCTGACAAAAGATAAGAAATTCATGAATTTTTGAAAGTTGTAATCACTGCACGTATGAGCACTTGAGTAATGTCACTGTGATGAAGTGCCAGACTACTTTCCCATTTATGTTAACACACGTAAACAATCAAAATTTATTCAGGAATTGGATGGCCTTGTTGTTTTTGAGAGGACCTATAATAATGTGCTACCCGTAAACAATTTTGAGTAGTGCCCAAAAGGAGAATGTACTTAGGAGAAAAAGATAAATTAATGATAATTTTATTTTGTACTGGACAAATGGGAGAGCTATCCGATGTCTACGTCACAATCCACTGACCATATTGCTAATTTTAGATTGGCATGGATTTAATGATTTCATTTTTCAAACATTCATAACTCCCTTATTATTGGCTTGATATATTTCAAACTTTCGCCTCTCTGTTTCTCTTACTTTTCTGCTTCCATAACAATGAAGTGATTACATGGATTTAATTGGCCATTAACCTTTATAATGCTGTCAAATAAATATTCTCATACCCTTCTGTATTTACACATCCCACCTAGACGTACACAAAACATGAACATTTCCAGTAATTACCATTTCACATATATTTTGTGTTTTACAACACATGTTCCAGTATTTTATGGTCAATAGCTCGATATCCTAGACTAACTGCATTATTAACTTTAACCCTAGACCAAACCTAATCCTAAACCTTAACCTAGCCTTTTGCAAACACAGACTTAGATTTGGCACTTGACTCCAATTCCTAAAGCCTTAAGCCTCGAAATGCTAAAGTGCATGGTCCTAATTAACTATTTTAATGAATCACATCTGATTGCCAAAAACTAGAGAGGAAGGCTCGATTTTATTCAATCAAAGTTCATTGCCTTGCACATATCGTAACGTGTCTATCATGAAATGCTGATACATGTTGATTATGTGAACAAATGGACATGTTACCTTCCCATGCTAGCTAGGAAAATACTTTGCCTACAGAGTTCTGACTCTAAAACCGTTTAATGCACAATACTACCAACCGGCTACCTAGGGATGGATTGGAATGCAAACCTCGGCCACCACGTCTACTACCCTCGACGTTTCTTGTACGTCTCTGTTTGCTTCTCAAAGGCAGGAATGAGCAGGGTAACCTAGGAGAAGCCGTTATCATTTCTTTGCGATGAAGTAGATGGCCAGGATAATGACGCTTAAGATGATCAGGCCTAGGAACAGCATGATTAGTCGATTTTGAAGGATCCTATGAGGCAAAGAAAAAACAATTTCTTATCTTCAATTCAATTTCAATTTATTTCAACCATGAAAATACATATACAATAATTTGTGGAAATGTAAAAAAACGTGGGGTTAGGAGCCCCTAAAGAAGTTTGAATACAAACTTGTGGTTAGGGCACCAACCATGACATACATGTATACAGTTGTATGTATAGTTGGGCAAAAATTGAATGATATAGAGTTGTACAGTTGAACCTGTCTATAAAGACCACTCAAGGGAAACAGAAAAAAGTGATAACTGTAGACAGGTGGCCTTTCTAGACAGGTTCTACAAGACACATTTCTTTCTCAAGGGAGACAAAATACATGGCCTTTATAGAGAGGTGGCCACTGAAACAGGTTTGACTGTGATAAAGTACAGTGGTTATAAAGACCACTCTAGGGTTACATAAAAAGTAATGATTAAAGTGAGGTGGTCTTTATATGCAGGTTGCTATAATACAGATTTCGAAGAGAAACACTATTCAAGGGAAACAATAAACTTGAATTTAAAGACAACTGGTCTTTCTATACAGGTATATGCTACAGGAGGTTGAACTGTAAGCAAAATGTTCTGATCTAATTTACAACTCAACCACCTGAGAGAATGGGAATGCAATGTTAAGGTCATAAATAATTCAAGACAATTACAAGTTAGTTCCCTGCATCTGTAGAAGCCAATATAGGGTGATTTTTGCAAGGCCTTCTTTACAAAACAAATTTACCATTCAAATAAATAATGATGGTGTGATAGCACAAATGCAATTACAAAGCAGGATAAAAGCATTTCATTGCCATATCTGATAGAAGTACATGTATAGAACAAAAACTACATCAGGACGGATGGGAGTAAACTGTTGGTTTTACAGTCAAACCTGTCTATAAAGGCCATTCAATGGACACAGAAAAAGTGGCCACTGTAGACAGATGGCCTTTCTAGAAAGGTGACCGCTAAGGTTTGACCATACAAATTTATTATCCGACTTTACTTATCCGACAATATGTTCACTCCAATATAGTAGTCTTATACAAATTCATAAATATTGGCCAACTTTCAGGCACCTACATGTAGGAGATAATTTGACTGAGAATTCATTAATTTTACTTTTCTCAGTGAAGCAAAAACTCCAGAAGTGAGACAGGGAGATATATTCAAATATGGACCATTGATAATGGATGCATGTCTACAGATGATGTAGAAGTACATGTAACAAAGATTAATTCTTGCATGATATCAGATTAAATCTATTTCAATTTGTTTTTATATTTAATTTCTGCATATTTTGTATATTTTAATAATGAATATCTTCCTCACGTTTTTGTTTTGTATTTGTTTTTGTTTGCATTTAGTTCAGACAGCAGATACTTAAACTGAAGAGGGAACCCTGTTTAAACAACAGTGAATATAAATGAAATGAAAAAAGAAAAGAAAAGAAATAACCAAATATTACATTCTTAATCAGCCATTCTGCACACATTTTTTTCTCACTTTTGACTTATGGTTTTGCAGCCATAACCCATGATTGCACTATAGAGGTCAAGCGGATTAAAACGTGCAGGTGGGAAGCATACATGTACATAAAAAGGAAATAGAAGTATTCACAGTGTAGCGAGGTTGAATAAATGGAGTATATAGGGGGCGACATTCACCATACCTACGCATCATTGCACTGAGTACTCTTGAGCTTTGGCCGACGTTGGAGTCCATGTCCCGTAACTGGATAGAGAGAAGAGAAAAGCATTGATTTTTTGTTTTATCATGCTGTGTTACTCTCTTCCATAAGTCATGCTGGCTTCATGTATGTATATGTATGTGTTGATGAGTCAAACACACATAAAATAACTTATTTTTTTATAATTTTTCATTTAATGTAACCTTTTTTTAGCTAGCCAGTACCCTTGTTTCAATAGTTCTGCAGAATGTATTAAACTTATGAAAATATGAACTATAATCTTTTTATTTCTTTCTGAAATATTTTTGTATCAAATAGTCGAGTTATCACAAAAAATCTTATAGCACTATATTCATTTAAGAACAAATGTCCATTAGATTAAATTTCATTATGGTACCCTCTTTTTATTACAGAGTTTTGTATTACAGAGTATTAATTTTTAACAGTAGATGCATTCAATTATTTTGAATTCTTGTGTTTTTTAGCATTATTGAACAATACAAAAGAATAATAATCTGAATTACAACATGTAAGTACTCACTCTATTTCTTGATCTGTCAATTTTTTCTCTGTCTCTATGCAAGTTATCCACGATATCTTGCCCAAGTTGTTCTGTAAGTTAATGAATAAACCAATGAATATAATTACCGGTGAAGTCATTAATTAGCTGCAGATGCCGACATTCCCATCGTACATTATATGAAGGTTCCTACACCACTGACACTACAACATAATGAAGTCAACAAGAAACTCTTCATAGTTACCGACACAGCTACTAACACCATATATTCTCCTTATTTTAAGTTTAAAGTCGATGCGCTAGTGCCCTTTGGTAAGGCATTAATCTCATTACCAGGTCCCTCGGAGAGGACCTTAAGCCGTCGGTCTTCTGGTTGCTAACTAACAAGCATTTATTGCTTTCTTAGCTGTCAGGTAAAATAACCACCACTATCACTACCACTAACTCTTTATAGCTACTGACAATAACTATATGTATTACTTTTAATTAATAAATATTCTAACTGCGTTGTGAATTAAGAACTGCAGATAATAAATTATCAGCATATCGTAGTGTAGCACAATACATGTTTTAGAATCATTGGAAGTAAGTGTGTCTGCAAAATCGCTGAGGTACCGGAGACGCAATGCATTATGGGAATGTATTTTGCTATATGGGGTAGCAAGAATTACACCAAACTCCATCATCTTACCCGTCTCTATTGTCATTCTGTAGCCAGCATCTAATTTCCTTGATGTCCTGTCCAGTCTCTCTGTGTTGTCTAATAGTCTTGTTTTCTGGAAAGTGAATCGATTAAAATGATTGGCATGACTATGGCTACAAACTTTCACAAACACATGTCAGGAATTAATTACCTAAATAAGTGTTTCTGTTTCAGGAAATGCAAACTCATCAATGTGATATTTATATATCAGCAACTTTTGAAATGACAACTTCAGCATTCTTTCCAATTATCAACTTAATTTTAATCTTAGGTATGTATTGGCCATAGCAGTTCAAGGGTAAGATTCAGGATTGTTAGAGGTGGGCGAGAGATGTATTTCCAGGGAACAAGATTAAAGAAATCTTGCCAACCCACCCATCTCCTAGCCCCACTTAAATTTGATGGGGGGGGGGGGAAGCAGGGAAATTGAAAAGTCCTGAGATGAGTTTTCCCCACTTTTTGTGTAGTGTCTTTTCTCTTATCCCCTTTCTTCCTTTATTTTCCCTCAATAGGAGGGAGTGGAAAATTCATCATCCAAAACGTCCTATGGAGGTGGATACCTAAAATGATGACTCAAACTTATGTTTTCTACCAGTTCCTTACTTGATCTTCTGAATTGCGATAATCATCCAGACCAAGCAATTCTTCTCTTGCTCCATCGTCTCTTGATGAAACCTTGGATCGTCTCTGTACAGTAATAGAAAGATTGTACAGTCAGTAAAAAGATTAAATCATGATCAGCCCTTATGGTCTCACCAAGGTTACAAACAGATTTCACCAACATACCCAGAAGACAACATTTCATTTTTTAATTTTTATTAGCTGCTCTAAAGTGTTGGGAGCCTCATATTCGCCAAAATTTGATGGCAAAATTTCACTTAAATTGTATATTAATGTGAAAGAGGATGTCATTTAAGACACACTTCTGCAAAGATTTCCCCCCAAACAAAAACAAAAAATGTGTTTGAAGACAAATATTGATAAAAGAATACATAATTTGGGTTTTCAGTTGTACGCAGAAAATCTACATTATGTATTCTTTTGTCAGTAGTCGACCTCAAACACAGTTGTTCTGGAAATACTTGCAGAAATGAGTCATAAATGACATCTTCTTTCTCATTATGATAACATTCAAGTGAAATGTTGCCATCAAATTTTCGGGGCTCCAACAATTTAGAGGGGCTTCAATAATTCACACATTATCCCAGTAAAATAAATCTTGATAAATAAATTATGAGGACCATGTTTAATCTGCAAAATCTTCTAAAACATTTGGTATTTACAAAATGAATTGAAAACAATTTCATGTTATATTCATGTAAACCATTGTCAGTGCATCAAGGAAATATGTTAGTTGATTCCTGTGACAATTATACAAAGAGTGGGTAACAAATGGGAATATTAATGTAGTGATATCACGCTTCATGATAAGTTATGATTTGTTAATGCTAGAGGAATTATGTGAAAGACAATTGCATAAAGAATTATAATCAAGTAGACTGCAGTAGTTTCTGAGAATATCTTTTATCTTACAAGATCTTTCTCTAGCCGATTCAGCTCAGTCTGGTAGCTTTTTAACCTGGTGGTGAACTTTTGGCGTTCTGCGGACGGAATGTTGCGAATTTCAATGTTCATCTGCTCCAGCTAAAACGACACAAAAATAATACAAGATTAGACATATTTTTTTATATGATTTTATTTCTGCATTTTTCCAAACATAATAACAAAATAACAAAGAACATATAAACGTAAGGTATAATACAAAATATACAAACAATAATAACTTCATGTCAAAATGTTTTTTTTACACATATGTACATGTAATATGAAACTTAATATTTCTATAACATATTATTATAGATTTAAAGTATTATCCAAACTGTCAGTTGAAAAAGTGCAGGAGACCGCAATCATAAGCAAAGCTTGACTACATGTAGGATGGCGGCCTCAACATAGAACATGAATATAAAAACACTGTTCACTCTTTATCACATGAGAATGATACACTGGATATAAGTAATTCAAGTTATTAAGCAAATACCATTTAAAAGGTTAATGCAAATAAAGAGCTAAAACTTACCAATTCGTGAGCCTCATCAACCTGCTTTTCAGCTGAACTTGCCAATTGTTTCTTGTCATCTGTCAAAGATGAAAACAAAAATAATGTACAAAAGTTAAATAAAAGCTTATTTTTCATGTCAAAGCAAGATCTACAACAACCTATACAGATAGTACAGGTTCAAATACAAGTACAACACAAGTCACAAGTTCAACAAAGATCATCTGATTATCCAGATTTGGATCTTTTCATATCTCAGCAGTCTGTAAAAATGTAGAGGATATGTACGACCCGGATGTGTGGCCGGAAGGAGTTTTTGTGAGGAGATATTACGAGCCTCGCAAACTTCAAGCTTCCCTGCCTGGTGCAGAGTCTCTGCGGAAAGTCAGAAAGCTTGAACACTCTACCCCAGTGCCTGCTGGCACAGTTAATGCAGATCGTGGGGATGATAAGCTGGAGTCTTAACTTTATTTATTAACTTTCAATTTAGTTAGTTACAATACTCGAGGTCTACACCTAGGACAGAGTGCTGCTGACAAAAGTAGGCGCTTAGTAGTTGAACATTTATTCCGGGATAATTTTGATATCATATGCTTACAGGAAACTTGGCTGGCTAAACAGGACTTGAATGGCATTAATGTTTTACACCCTCAATATCATGGAATAGGAGAATCCACAACTGATCTCAATGATAGACTGATCCGGGGCCGCATACCAGGAGGTGTTGCTATCCTGTGGCATACTAAATATGAACACTTGATTAGTGAGTTAAGACTTGATGTAGATTGGGCAGTAGGTATAGAAATTAATTATGGGAATAAGAAATTTGTTATTATTAATATATACACTCCTTATGAGTGTCCGGAAAATGAAAGTGATTATCTTGAGAAAATAGCATTTATTGCGGCGGTTATTTCTGAGCTGGACACCACCAGTGTTTATGTGGTAGGTGACTGGAACGCAGACATATCTGATAATAGTTCTTTATTTGGAAATCATTTGAGCCAATTTTGTTGTGATAATAATTTTGTGTTATCAAGTCTGCATTATTTACCTGCACATAGTTACACTTATGTTAGTGAAGCATGGCATACCACGTCATGGTTGGACCATTGTATATGTACAGCAGATGCTAATGCCTCTATACAGAAGATGGAAATTATGTATAAATTTGCTACAACTGATCATATTCCTATTAATTTGACAATTGATATTGACAATTTGCCTGGGCTACGTGATTCAGGCATGACTAACACTGTACATAAAGGCAGGCTAGATTGGACTAAGATTGAAAAAGATCGTAGGAATAATTATTACTATGATACTGATTTACTGCTTAAAGGAATTTATGTGCATGAAGACGATGCTCTTTTATGCCGAGATTCCAATTGTGTGAACAAAGACCATGCTAATTATTTATGTAATGCATATAATGAAATTGTGAAATGCTTATGTGATGCTAGTGAATCTCTATATCAATGTAAAAACAAAGTTCATAATACTAGGCCTGGCTGGAATGAGCATGTGTCAGAGCTCCACTCTGCTGCTCGTGAGGCTCACCTACTCTGGGTTGAAGCTGGCAAAAACAGACAGGGACGGTTATTTGAACTAAAGAAGAGAGCCAATGCACGATTCAAGTATGCTCTCCGTTTTATAAAGAATAATGAGAATGTTATGCGGGCGGACTCAGTTGCTCGTAAATTGCAGGGTAAAAGTTATTATGAGTTTTGGAAAGAAATTAAATGTGTTAATAATAGTAAAGCGCCTCTTCCAACTAATATTGAAGGTATCTCTGGTGATGAAAAAATAAGTGAATTGTGGTGTAATCATTATAAGGATTTGTTTAATTGTGTACAGAGTACGGTGCAGGATGTTACTAATGTTGACTTTGATGTAAATATGGTTATCTCTCCAGAGGAGGTTAAAGAAGCTATCAGAAAATTAGACAGCAATAAGTCATGTGGTCTTGATACTATTACAGCTGAACATCTAAAGTTTGCAAGCCCGAAACTCATGCCGTTGCTTGCAATGTGCATTTCGGGCTTTTTGATTCATGGTATCTTACCAGATAGTATGATATCCGTTGTTTTGGTGCCAGTCATTAAAAATAAAGCTGGTCGCATTACTAGTAAGGACAACTATAGACCTATAGCATTGGCAAGTGTCCTGTCCAAAGTGCTGGAAAAGATATTGCTTGGTAGGTTAGAGATGTATATTCTTACCAAAGATAACCAGTTCGGTTTTAAAGCCAAACATGGCACTGAAATGTGTATATTTGCTCTGAAGGAAATCATTGCGAGTTATCGTAGCAAAAATTCTTCCTTGTTTCTTTGTTTTCTTGATGCTTCAAAAGCTTTTGATCGGATAAATCATGAAAAGCTGTTTACGAAAATGGCTGATAGAGGTATTCCTAAGTACCTGATTAGTGTTTTGGTATGCCCATCAAACAATGATGGCTAGATGGGGAAGTAGTGTCTCTGAACCATTCCATGTCAGTAATGGTGTTAGACAAGGTGGTATTCTTTCTCCCTTTCTCTTTAACCTGTACATGGATGGTCTATCTGACAATCTGAATGCTTGTAAAAAAGGCTGTGTAGTTGGTGGTATGGTAGTCAATCATTTAATGTATGCAGATGATCTCGTTATTATTAGCCCGTCAACTGCTGGGTTGCAGAGTCTGCTCAAGATTTGTTCTCATTATGGATATGATAATGATGTGAAATATAATGCAAAAAAGAGTCATGTTATGATAATTAGATGTAAGGAACACCGTAGATTGGTATTCCCGGATTTTTATTTGTGTGGAGCTAAACTCAATGTCTGTACAGAGGCCATGTATCTTGGTCATTTCTTTACTGAGGATCTCAGTGATGATAAAGATATTAGTAGACAGTGTCGTAAATTATATGCTCAAGGTAATATGCTTGTTAGGAAATTTCATATGTGTTCTCCGGATGTGAAGGTGGCTTTATTTAGGGCATACTGTACACCTCTATACACTGCGCATCTGTGGTGTAATTTTAAGAAGAGCAGTTTGTACAGGCTTACTGTTGCCTATAATGATGCCATGAGAATGCTTCTTAGGGTACCTAGATACTTTAGTGCTAGTCAAATGTTTGCTGAGTTGAATGTTCCAGCCTGTTCGGCTGTATTACGAAATCTTATGTATAAGTTCATCCAGAGAGTGGATGTGTCTGAGAATGGTATTTTAAAGATGTTAGTGAACCCCTCGTATAGTTGTCTTAGGTACACATCGGGCCTCTGGAGATTTTGGCTGAATAGCCTGCTGACACATGGCAATTGACTATTATGTTCCTGTTACCAAGGATTCCAGTATCCTTGTTTGTTTGTTTTTTATAATAGTTATTTATCATAAGTTTATCGTTCTGGTTAGTTGAACAGAGACAGATTGTTACAAGATACAACTTCAATAGATTGTTATTGATTGTTATACATGTACTTATTTTAATCTTACAGTTATAGGTACAGCTTAGAGTTAGTTTATTATGTTGTTTTTTTTATCAACCTTGCAGGTTACACGTTACTCTTAGAGTTTAGAGTGTTTGTACGTATTGTAGACCTAGTATAGTTTAGTTATACTCTTTGTTAGGCAAATTCATGCAAAAAAATATATTCAAAAAATTGACTTGAAAACACATCAGACAATTAGTCTGAACCGAGTCAGGAGCAAATTTGAAGAAATTATATTTTTAAATGTTGTAAAACCAAAGATATAAGAAGAAAACTGACCAAGTATCTGTACTAAAAATCGTACATGTAAAATTGGTCGTATACATTCGACAGCTGAAAATGACGCGCACGGTTGCATTACGTGCGTTCTCGAATCCAAAATCATACCTCACACACACACTCTCGCCATACCGCGAATGGTCCGTCGTGGGGAGCTGGCCGGCTGAGAGTTTGCAGCGATACCAACGCAGCTTCGGAGCTCCGCAGAGCGCCATTTTAGCGGGACTCGGAAAGGTTCGAGGTGGGAAGGCAGCGGCCTAGCTTTTTGCCCAAACAACGCTAGATCGGCTGCTGGCAAAATGAAAATAACTACGATCGAGAACATCGTCGGTTTCTTAACTTTTCAGTGAGATAATTCTGAATTCTAATTGAGACTATTTAATAAATTAAATCGACAAAGAAACCTTGGTAGAACTCTTATAACTATACAAAAGCTTGTTTATTTCTTCATTTGACATTTTGTTTTCGACCATTTTTTCGTGCGCGAGTCAATGTAAACTATGTATTACCAAACTTTCAACACGCAATTAACGGGGAACACTCGCGGACCTCGTAACAAATTCGTTGCAAAAAAAAATTTCAAGGGTGATTTTGAAGCAGTGAAGAACATTGGCGCTGCAATGCGCAGAAATATACTTGAAAGAAACTTAAAAAATAATACCTGAATTTTCAGAAAATCGTATTTGTATTAGTGTACCTAGATGTGACTTGTTTATAAATCAGATTTTATGAAGATTTGTCAGGAAAAAATGTCAATTTTTTTCGTTTGGTGGTCATTTCTAGGCTAATATTTTAAAAGTTGCATCAGTAATGGGCCCGATGTTTCTCTTATCGTACTCGCATGTTATTTCTACATAGATTAAACATAGGATGGTTAAGGGTAAGACCAGATAACATTATAAAAAAGATATATCCTTCCACCCTCCCATATCCAAGTTTTGGGCTGATTATTGCCGACCCACCGCAGCAAGCCTATTCAGATTTTCGTACGCGCGCAAAGCGCCCTCTAGTGCCCCATGAATGTGCCTATCTTTGTATAGTTTTGTTGTTATTATACTCATCATGTTTATAGTATATACTCCCTATATATCTATGTAACATATGTTTTATGGACCTCTGCCTTGTGTAGTTGAGTCTGAAATAAAGTTCTGAATTGAATTGAATTGATAGTTACTTTCATCTGTGACCAGGTGACAACATCATCCATCTCTTGCCCCGCGCCGAGCCCAAGGTCCAACGCGCCAGAAGCCAGCGGGGGTGGCGCGGCGAAGGCGAAGCGTAGTAACTAGTAATATAAATACACACACGTACACAGACACACAGTCAATCAATTAAATTTATCAAGCAGACCACGTAGCCAACAGATGGGCGTTATTTACAGTCTCAAACACTAACATCTTAGTCCTAAAATAAAATTAAATAATGTAAATCACTTCTTACTTCCACTGAGAATTGGAATTTTGTTGATTTTTGATGTAATTTCTGCAGAAACTGCAGCAAATTGATGTTCGAATTCCTCCATGGCGGCTGCCATTTTGTGGGACGTAGCTGAGCTGAGACTAGCCAAAGTTTTTCCTAGAGTTTTAGTGGCGCATCCATTGCCAATCTAGGCGAAGAAATCACTATTTTCATTTTTTTTTTTTGCGTCGACTGCTCACAATCAAGCCCAACCTGTAACCTGCCGAGCTTGAGCTATATAGAGAGAAACACTTTTCTTAAATATCTGTTTGAGAAACTTAAGAAAAACAAGCAATAAGTTGGGTAGAAACATTGCTTCTTACAAAATAGTGTAGACAAATGGTGCTAGAGTCTAAACCAAAGTGGTAGCTAATAGAAAGATAATGCCTTTTATGATTTCTTTATATATGTTAATATTATATTATACTGCGGTGTAATTATATAGGTATATTACACAAATTAAGTAAAATAGAGCTGTTGCATTGCCAGATTTGGCAGATAGCTATTTTATTATACGATCTCCATTGTAAATCAAATGGAGCTATATTGAATGACCTAATAATTTGGCGCCGATATTGCAGCCCCCCCCCCCCAAAAAAAGGAGAAGGCCGGTATACCGTGGCCTACCTTGTAGATCTTTATGTTATTTTCAAGTACCCCAAAATTGCCCTTTTTACATAGGAAAGTGCCCATTTTATTTTGGAACGTACCCCATCACTTTTCACCTATGTAAGTGCCTCTTTTTAGCTACGAGAAATGCCCCTTTTCAATTTTGATAAGTGCCCCTTTCACCTCTGAAAAATACCTTATACATATTTGAGAGGTGCCCCTTATGATACCCCCTCCTTTTTTAATAACTACCCCTTTTTAAATTACGATAAGTGCACCTTTTATTTTTACATGTGCCCCTTTTCCTTTCTCAGAAGTGCCTCTTTTCTTATGATAGGTTCCCCACATTAAAAAAGAGCTCTTTCCCCTTTTCATGAATGCCCTTATTTCCGGCTATGAAAAGTGTCCCTTTTCATTCTCATAAGTATATACTCCATTTCATATCTGGTCAATGCCCCTTTTCAGGTACGATAAGTGCCCCTTTTCACCTCTGACAATTTCCGTTCTTCATAAATTCCCCTTTTAAATTCTTATGAATGCCCCTATCAAATCTGATGGGTTCCCCATTTCCGTCGACGAATGCCCATTGATCATTCTCATACTAAGTGCCTTTTTTCATCCCTGGTGAGTGCCTTTTTTCAGGTATAGGAAGTGCCCCATTTTCACCTCTGATAAATAATTACCGTTTGTACCTGACGCCTGCTCCTTTTCTTATTTCTAAGAGGTGTCTTATCCCTTTCGATAAGTGTCCCCTTTTCCTCTCATCAATAAATGTGCCCCTAATTTAAAGTGACTAGGAGCAATTTCGCCCAAAGCTCACTCGCTATATCACATGTATTTATATAATTATGTTACTTATTGAGTATGTGCTTATAACCCCATCAGGATTGGGTTTTTTTTTCCTTTGTTATAAGATGCAATTTTTCGCACTGTGACCTCAAAAATCTTTAAAATTTTCCTGGCTCGCAAATGAATATTCAGACCATCACACCCAACTGCATGTACTTTGTAAGATACTTTGTAACAAATATTGCAAGCATCCCAGATAATAAGTAATCACAATGTAGGGGTATAAACCAATGTCTAAAAAATCTCGAAGCGAATAATTATGCAATGCAAATATTCGCTTCGCTTCGAAATTTCCCTTTGTAGGTGCCCTTTTTTCCAGGAAGTGCCCTTTTTGTTGGTGCCCCCCCCCCCACTCTAGAAGTAGCTCCGCCACCCCTAGTTCTAGGGATCCATGATTTACTTTAGGATGGTTTTACTTTCATGTACACCCTCATTGATGCTCTTCTCGTCCTGTTTTTACAAAATTAAAGAAGAAAATTAGAAAAGAAATATAAAAGATGAAGAAACAAGATTTTAGAAATTGAACAAAATGCCCAGTTAGCTTATCTAAACATTTGCCCTGGGAGGGAAGATATCCATCTGGTATAATATAATGTTAGACTATTCCAATTCAAATGTGATTTTGAAATAAATCAGCTTAAAAATTATAGTATGTCATAGAAACGCTTTTGAGAAAGGTTAATCGTACCATTTTAGCTTTGCATTATGTGATTGCATTCGTTTCCATTTTTGTATGGGGGCCTTTGGGAGTGCTTTAGGGTTCTTGGATTCATTGTCTACACATGTCTGCCTCACCGGCCCTACCCCCCCCCCCCCCGCCCTCACACCCCCCCCCCCCCCCCCCCCTCCTCAACAAAGTACATAATATAGACCACTCCCATAGGCAAGACGTGTACCTTCAAGTAGCATATTTTACGTTGCCAATTTAATAGCTTGATATTTATGGAACAAAGACAATTTTTGACAAATACTATTGCATGAAGGATACAAATAACCAATTCATTCCGTGTTTCATTTAAGACTAAAATCTTTTATTTTTGAAATAATATATATAGTTCTGCTTTATTCACAGTGTATATAGTACAGTACTATACAGCATGCAGTACGTACACAAAACATACGTAGGTCATTTATATTGCAAAAAGAATGAGCCCTCTACGACCTTTTCAGACAGTTGTGAAATCTTCTCAGTGGAAACCTGAGAAAAAGGTTAGAAAAATCCACTAGTATCCAGGAATATGTGATGTTATATACGAAACTAATATGATATAATTGTTTTTGTGTACCTAAGGATTCATATCGTTCATTACATTTTGTTTTTTGATCTCAAAGAAATAAGAAATGGCCCAATTTATGTCGGTAAACGTCGGGTAATCCGTGCGTATGTAGGCGAACGCGAACGCTCGATAATCTAAAATGAAAGATCTTGATTCTCGGGTAGACTAGATCCACTAATTTTAGTGCTGGGGCAACGTACGATAAACATGATTCGATTTTAAATTATGAAATCATACATAAGTTTAAATTAGGGTCTATATGCCCTTTTAACTAATTCAAAATGGACATTGGAAATGAAATCCTGGTACTGAATAAACTGGCCTCTCGACGTCTCGTCACGTCTGTTTTTAAATTGAATTTGAATACGCTCCATTGACATGCATGTTGTGGTGCATTTATGAATGCATTGAGTGCAATTTTATGGCAAAAATAAAACTGGGGATAAATCTCGAAGTTGATGTTTATTCACCAAGACCAAGCATTTACACTTGCATGTAGGTCTAGATCTAGTCTAGATTCTAGATCTTGATTTGGAGATGGTAGAGGACACTTAAAAGAAGTGCTGTGCCCGTGGAGCGGAGAGAATGTGTTGGCTGTTGCAATGTTGTCGGTAGGGGCGCTGGTCTGAGAATAAGGATTGTTCACGTAAATGCGGACAAATCACCTTTTTTTTCCCTCAGCGCTCTGCAGGTGAAGGGTTCCCAATCCGCGCTGGCAATTGAAAATCTGATTCGCGTAATAAAATTCCACCAGTTCACCATCTACTTTTGGAAGGCCCGCCTACGGCCTAGCCTAGGTTCAGGTTGTCCGTCTTCCCCGAGGATTTATCGCTCAAAACATGAAATGAAAGTCTCTGTTCAAAGTCAACATGGTCAATGTGAAATGCATCAAGAAAATCATTTTCGCATTGCCAACGCGGAATCCTTCCTGAATATGCGGATGATCGTATATGCGGACAATCGTTTAGATCTATGCGGACGATCCTTATTCCTGGTTGTTGGGGTCTTGCCTTTGGACTTCAGTTTGGCTGTGCCATTTATTTTGCCGGGCATTGACTTGGGAAATGTGTTAGTGTTTTTGTTGTAGCTGGTGACCGATGTTGTGGTCTTGGTTGGGGCCTTATGATTATGACGGGGTGACCAAAGCTTGCGAATATTTTACAAATATTAGGAAGTTGACATTCGATCCATGTGTCCATGATTTCTCGTATTCTATTTCTACACAAATTCATTTACATGTAGAGCGACACTAATCAAATTATTATCAAATGGACTGCAAAGTTCTTTAATCCAAATAGGTCTAGAAAATTTATTGTGAAAAAAGTCTTGAGATATCGAGATCTCATAATTCAGATCGGCATGTGCTGCAAGCGTGCAACTGACTAAAAAGTCATTAAAAAAAACGGGACCTTGTCCTTAGTTCGCCCTGTGCGCACAGGAGTTTACAGCTAATTTATCCCCCAAAATGGATCCATTAAATATTAAATTATTGCATATTCTGCAAGGCGAAATTGCCGAAATATCATACAATCAGTTGTTTACCACTTTTACTTATGATTTTGCTCTCAAATAAAGATTTCCAGACCCTTGTCTGTAACTATAAGTTCATATATTTTTGGAACGAAAAATATATATTTTTTTTTAATAAAGAATTTAACTCCCACCCTTTTCCATTGACCGATCCTACCTTTCAAGATAGAAAATATTGTGTTTAAAAACCTATCATGTCAACATCAGTAGTTGGCCAGGGCATGCCTTCCTTGTGGTATGTAATGTCATATTGTCCATCGATTTAGTTATAATAATTGTTCTAAACTTTCTTCTATTTTTTCTCTTCTTTACAGCAACAAGATGGTGCAACGACTTTGTTTCCGCCGTAGGCATACCTACAACACCAAATCCAACAAGGTCAAAATGTGAGTAGAAGATTTTTCCATTGGATTCAAAGACATGGCTGTATACGATTGCATCAGTTAACAACTCGATTATTCATACCTTTACCAAGCTTTGTAATTTTTAATGTATGTGAAATATGTTGAGTCCCGGTTTAAGTTTCTTTAGAATGTGACATTATTTAAAGCCTACATGTAAAAGTATAAAACAGTAGCCTTAATTCAACCAAGCTTTCATTCTTGAGTTACAAAAAAAAATAAAAAAATTACAAGGCCTATGAATAAAAGTACAATGACCTGATGTATTACGGTACTATGTTTTACTCGACTTCCAGAGAAATTCATGTGTATGATATGTCTTAAATTAGCAAAAAGGAGGGGGCCAGGGGGGGGGGGGGGTCCGTGGGATGAACAAGGACTATTCCCAAAATGTCACCTACAATTTGTTTTCTACTTTTGAACTCTTGTCTTGTTTTTGTTGTAATTGGTGACCTCTAACTTTATTTTTTGATTATTTTCTTTCCTTACAGTGTGAAGACACCAGGTAAGTTATTTGCTGTTGATTCTGTCCTTCATAACAATCTCACAAAAATGAGTCCTAAACTCAAAATGAAGACTCGTCTCAATAAACAATGAACCCGCTGATTGAAATGAGACTGTCCCCAATTGACGTATTCTTAGATTTTGTGTTAGTCAAATCAGTCAATAGTTGGTACATGTTTATGTTTTTGCCAAGTAAAAAAGGCCTATGGGACTTGTTAAATGTTTACCAGTGAAAAGGGGAATGTATTGTACGTAACTAATTGTACGTCTATGAGAGGAGAATAAGGCTAGAAAGCTATACTAACTATATAATATTAAAAAAATATAAATCTCTGGAAGCAGTGAACTACACAACTAGGTAAATCACCGGTTTCAAATATTAATAGTCAAAAATATGTTTTAAAACAACACAGTCTTAACGTGGAATTTTGCTCTTTAACACTGAAAATGCAAAGTGGAGGATAATAGTTGCCTTTTAGTTGAGTAACTGTATAAAGAGGGAACAAGATTATGTTTTGAGGGTTTACAAAGAGTTGTGGAATGTTATTCCTAGTAATATGTTCCTTGTTTTCATACAGGTGGTCGCCTGGTCTACCACTACCGCAAGAAGAAGCCGTCACCTGCCAGGTGTGGCGACACCGGTGTAAAGCTCAAGGGAGTAAGTGAAGTCTCCTTACATTATTTTTATTGTCACCCGATATCCATATTCATTTATGTGCCTCCCTCAATACCAATACGTCCGTCATGCTGCCAAGCTGATTCCAAACCCATCCCAAATTGACCGACGTTTGGCTATTCAATGTAATTGTAATGTAATGTGATCAATTGTGTTGTTCTGTTCTCAGTCTGGTGATGTGACTGGGATATTGGGAAGTGGAGAGGTTGTTCACACATTCATAGAGCATGAAGTGACCATCTCTTCGATAGTACAATACTTGGTCTCGTCTTTCTTGGATCTTGGATCTTGGATTCTTTTCCTCCTAAATACTCCGAAGAAGAGTTTTGACTGGAGGTGGTGGAGGGTGGACGATTACATTTTGGAAAAAAGTTCTTTAGTAACTGCATTTTTAAATGAGAGCGGGGAGGTTTGGTCGATAGTTGCTTGTTGTAGGTTGTTCCATGTCTTTACAGTCCTTGGGAAATATGAGTTGGTGTGGTGAATTTCAAGTCTTTGGCATCTTTGGCAAGAGTCCCTAAACTCCTGAAAGGGCTTTGAATTTTGTTTTATAAGCCAGTCAGTAACAGACTTTGAAAGAGTTTAAGCGAAAGTCTTAGACGATTACATGTAGATCAAAGTTTGTTTGCTCTTCATGTTATCCTGTCATTTATATGAATTTTCTGAGGCAAACGCTGGAGCAAACGGTCATGGAAAAATGTGAAAGGACACATAACCTAATTCTATGTGTAACATATAAGTATATAATATCATCTAGAAGGGAGACATGTCGCACCAACCCCTTGAAAAAGGCAAAGAATGTATAGATCAGACAGCAAGATTCTAAATCATGCATTGTCCTTTTACTATGCAGGTTCAAGCCGCCCGCCCTAAGAAGCTCATGGCTCTGTCTAAGCCCAAGAAGAAGGTCTCCAGGGCCTACGGAGGATGTCTCTGCGCCAAGGCAGTCAAGCAGAGGTAAGCATAAAATTCAGCCCAGAGACCCGTTTCACAAAGCCTTTTTTCAATGACAAATGACAGAAATCAGCGACAAATCTGTTGACAACTAATCAGAAGCAAGGATTTTCAGTAGCTTATAACAAAAACTGTCATTTGTCACTGATGACAAGTTTTGTGAAATGCCCCCCAGGTAGCAGTAATGCCCAAGGCATTTTTTACCAAACAGTCATGTACAACATCTTCTAAGAGCAAAAAGGGCATTAATTAGACTTGCATACAATAGTATAAGTTAACATTCTCTTGGCTGTCAGCAGACAGTAACTCCTTGGACATTCCCCGGGATTGTGTTAGATAATTACGACATACAGAGGGGATGCCCATTACTTATGAATGTTTTGTGAGGCAGGCCCTTCGTCTAGTCTTTCAGAATTTGATGGATGCGACTCTTGTGTGATTCCCCAATCAGTTGCAGTGTTGCAATCACATACTATCTTCAGAGTTGTTAAAATAAAAAAAAATTGTGTTGAGTTGCAATAGATTGGGATAAAGATTGGGATGAATCTGATCACAAATGATTTATAACATAGGGCCCAGGGCTATTATTAAATTCAACGCTTGTGTCGGAAATAAAAGCATTTTAGTTTTCAGCTTTCATAAAATACTTGGCCAAATTTGGTATTGAGTTGAAACTTTTGGCCAACTGTTGTATCCGAAGTGTAACACAGCTACCTAGCGGGTTTGGGTCAATCATTTTGGAGGCCTTCATTGGCAGATATGTGGTTTTCACACTCAGTCATTATGCTGTACATACTTATATCAGAGTGCATTTATTTTGACAAATTGTGGATTAGCTTTGTGATGTCACTTTGGCCATCAAAATGTATTTTGCATTAAAATTTAATTTTCCAACTAGATGCGATCTGAATACTAGCACATTTCAAGTATTGGATATGGGCTCACTCACTTGGTTTTGCAAAGTACATGTATGTCAGTCTTTTATCAAGCTCCATATTTTACATTTGATACAAGGATGTCATGAAAACATTCCATTCTCCAAAACTATGTCCTAATGCGGATCATTCTAGAATATGAAGGACCAGATACTCGGAAGTCTTTGAATCCCTCATGAATTGAGAATGATAGAATAAGCTCTATGATCGCCATTGTTCTGTAGCATTTCATTGAAATTTATCTAATTTATCTCTTATTCTCTTTTTTATCCCGTCTACCTCCCCACTTCCTCCATAACCCGCATCTTTACAGGATCGTGCGTGCTTTCTTGATAGAGGAGCAGAAGATCGTGCATAGAGTACTCAAGGCCTCTCAGGGAAAGAAGAAATAGACACCAAGCTTGTCAAAAGGGATGGGATTCATCAATGTCAATAGTCTGTACAAATAAATTTGTGGGCACCAGCAAAAAAAAATGAAACGTGTGCAGTGTGATCCTTTGATGTCTGCCTCGAGTCGAAATGGCCAGAGACATACCACAGCTAACAACTAAATTATTCAAACCCCTACCAAGTTCTGTAGTTTATTCATCATTTGAAAAATTGATTTGTCCCGATTTCTGTTTCTTCAGAATGTGACCAGCCCACCTTTCACACACACACTAACAAAAACTGAATTTACAAGGTGTATGAATAATTTAGTTGTTTACTGTACATGTTTAGATGAAGTTTGAGTCTGAGAGTTAAGGTGAAAGTGGCTTTTTTACACAAGCTGATGTGCATGTCATATCTCAGTCACACCGATGAGACTGACGCGAGAATGATGGTAGATCAAATTAAAACAAAATAAAACGGTGTAACTGAGACATATATACGGAAGCGTTAAAGTGCCATTCTACTTGACGACATGACGAGATATTCCATCTTGTCAAGTTGACTTAATATTCATATCATGTCGACATGTAAAAATATTTAACTTACCATGTCGACTTCACAAAAAGTTCATGTCGTCATGGCGACATAAATTATCTTGCCAAGTTGACTTCGCATAAAGTTCATGTCGTCATGGCGACATAAATTATCTTACCAAGTCGACTTTCCAAAAACTATCTGTCGTCATGGCGAAATAAATTATCTTGCCGAGTCGACTTCCTAAAAAGTATATGTCGTCATGGCGAAATAAAAATATCTTGCCAAGTCGACTTCGTAAGAAGTACATGTTGTCATGGCGAGATAAAATATGTTACCGAGTCGACTTAATAACAGTAGATGTCGTCTTGGCGACATAAATGATCACGTGGAGTCAGTTTTAAGAAGTCACTAGACCTAGACTAGTCGACTGTGAATGAACTACACGTACGCACGCTGCATGAAATAGTCGTCACACTACATATCTCGCCATGACGACATATACTTTTTGGGAAGTCGACTTGTTGAGATAATTTATGTCGCTATTACGAGATAAACTTTTTTGTGAAGTTGACTTGGCAAGATAATACATGTCGCCATGACGACATGAACGTTTTGTGAAGTCGACTTGGCAAGATAATTTATTTCGCCATGTCGACATTACTTTTTGGGTAGTCGACTTGGTAAGATAATATATGTCGCCATGACGACATGTAATTTTTTAGAAGTCGACTTGGTAAGATAACTTATGTCGCCATGACGACATGAACTTTTTGTGAAGTCGACTTGACAAGATGAAATATCTCGTCATGTCGTCAAGTAGAATGGCACTTTAACGCTTCCGTACATATATATGCTAGTAATTTAAACTTAATTTGTTGAGCTTGCACTTTGGCAAAGTACAACTAAATATCATATTCATAATATTATCACAATTCATTGTCTGGGCAGCAAATCAACCAGTTATAACTCTGAAAAGGAAGAAGAAGAAAAATGGTGACCAGTGTAAATTTACCTAAGTGTAACATGTTGATTTGTTGCCATATTTGACTCGCCATATCCAGAAAATTCCCCATTACATGACATGCTTGCCAGTCTGTCAGTTTTATTTGGCCGGGTGTTGGTGAAGTTTTGTTCAAGTTCCTGACATATACCTATGAATTGTGTGAGAATACGGTAGACTGAGAGACTGAAATAAGAGAAAAACAGAAAGAAAGTACATGTAGTTTCCAAGTACAAATTCTTAGTTGGTGCATGGAGAAATTCATGGCCTGGCTCTGCATTATCCAAGCCTTGCACCAGCTCTTCTGACGCTGATGGTCCAACTTTTGCTTGGGCTTTGTCAAAAGAATTGTGGTTTGAGTCGGGTGTATTGCTATGTTTAGAGAAAATCAGGGTTGAATTTGACTTGTGTTTAAATTCCAAAGCAGCACTTATCACCACAGGATTTTTTGTACAATCCTCATTGACCTGATGATGCATTGTGTAAGCTTTTTTAAAGCACTGTAACTGTTATGCGTGGTGCAGAAAAATACTTGAAATAGAATTTGTGCTTATATACAATATGGCAAAGAGAGAAAGAAAGTGAGAGATCTAAATGTGAATGTTATGATGATGGAAAGAAATTACTGGCAATTCAGAAGAACAAAGGTACGCTATGGTGTGCCCCTTATCAAATGTAATGTGGAAGAAAGGACAGGGAGAGAGAGAGATGTGAAAGAGGTAGGCAATATGAATAAAAGGTAATCGCATCCCTCTTCGTAGCATGAACGTTCCGGCTTTTCTTCTACTTCTTCTCCCTCTTCCTCTTTCTCTTCCTTTTTATTTTGTTTCTTTCCCTCATCAGAGGATTTATCAATTATATATACATGGTTACATTCAAAGATACCATACTACAAATCAAATTTATATAATCACAAAAACATCATTATTTTCATAACAAAGAATTGAAATTAAGTTTTGCTTTGCAAAGCAATTGAATCATCATTAACATAAAAATTATACTGATAGTTTTGTTTCCCTCTCTTTTTTTTTTCTTCTTCTTTTCTTAAATAACGCCTAACAGTTCTCTTGGTAAAAGCTTTCTGGTCATATTTATGTTTGATGATTTACTTTCCAATCTTTTTATAATTTCTCTGTGGAAATTTGTTTAGAAACAGCTTTTCTCTCGTCCATCCCAGTTATATTTCGATTAACAATCACTTTATAAATGGTCCAAAATGCTATTGTGAAGAATAAAGTACAATGACTTTCACAATCTATTTTGAGCAGGAGTTGGATACTGAACGTCAGTATCTTTACTTTGTATATATCTCGTAATATTTCTTTCAGATGTTTAATGAAGGGTTCAATTAGTTTGCATTCGATGAATACGTGATTTATCAGGCGCGGATCCAGGATTTCTAAGGGGGGGGGGGCCCAAATTTGAAATTATGCGAGCCAAATACTGTTGCGTAATGGTGACCAGCATTGGCGTAATGAGCAAAAACGTTGGGGGGGGGGGGGGGGGGGGCAGACAAAAAAAAAATCCGCATCACCCCATTCTTACATGCAGGCCCCGCTGAACGTTTTTCAAAGTGGGTGGGGGAGGCTAAAGTATTTATGATCAGGTAGAGCGTAGCGTAAATTGGCGTGGGGTCTAGGTGCAAAGGCCCGGCGGGGTCAAGGGGCGGAGCCCCCGGAAGCTCAGGGGGTATGGGCATTTAATTACTGTCGATGAGCATATTTGATAACTTATTCATGACACTAGCAGGTCACTAATGGGCGTTCTCTTTCCCTTCCTTCTCTCATTTTTTTGGCGGGGGAGGGGGAGGCAAGGGCCTACCCCCCCCCCCCCCCCCATCGATCCACAATTTGTTTGTGAGAAAATTACAACCTTCTCTTCTTTTCTTCTTCCTCTTTTTGTCCTGTTTTCTTTCCCTATTCTTCCTTCTCCCTCCTTTTTGTTGATGGGGCGGGGAGGGGGGGGGGGGGGAGGGGGAGTAACAGCATGAGAGGCAAGGCCCTTTCGCCCCCCCCCCCGATCTCCTCCTTTTCCCCTTTTTATTTTCTTCTTCCTCTTCTTTTTTCCCTTTCTCTCCTCTTTCCCTTCCCCTTCTTTTCCTTCTTTCTCTCGCTCTCTCTTTTTTTTGCCTGGGGGGGGGGGGGGGGCAAGGTCCGCTCGGCCCCCCTGGATCCGCGCCTGATTTATATCCTCTTTTATATTACATTTTGGGCATACATCGTCATTGGATATTCCCCATTTGAAAAGATTACTTCTTACTGGCAATAGATTATACAGTAATATCAAGTTAAACTCTCGTAATTTGCTTTCTCTAATTTGTGCAAGATTACGCTTGAATAACGTAGACCAATCAATATCTACATTAAGTTTTTTTTCCCAATAAAGGCAACATGTGTTAGTTAATACAGTTCTCGAAGGAATGAGTTTATAGAAACGATTGCTACTTATATCAGTAACATGTTCTCTTCCCCTTCTACTTCATCTTCTTTCTCCTTTTTTTCCCATTCACCTAATAAGACTCGTGCCCCTTCAGTGACTGCACCCACGTTGTGCCTCTGCCACGAATCACTAACTGTTATGAAACGGAACATGGCTGTAGTAAAAGTAGTCCAGGATCAGGCGGGTTCATATACATCAATCCTCTTTTAATCTCTTCGGTATTTGTCCCTATTTTGCCGTTCAATTAAGAGGAGCATGCCCCCCCCCCCCCCCCCCCCCTCCGTCCCTTGCCTCTGTAGCTTCGCCACTTTCCGCAGTTAGGGAGTGTCATTGCCAATGTTCGTACAAGAGGTCTGTTGTCATCACTTTTTTCGCAATACATGTAGCGGTTGGTTTTTCAAGGAATGACGTCGTTGGGGAAGTATACATCGCCTTGATAAGATCGTATGATTTTGTCGTTTATGGCCCACCTCAATCAGCTAAATAAAGGCCTTTTCAAATAAATCACCATCGCGTATTGCTATGTATTACTATAAGACCATAATTAATATCAAACATACATGTATTATTATCTTATTCCGTCTTAGCTCGAGAAATCTCTTTTTTGTATAAGTTTAAAATAAATGTACTTCTCTATATACCATACCCCTTTTGTTTTAATATAAAGTTTGTGCTCGCAGACTACACACGACCAACGGAAACAACTTGGGGGTTTCCCCTCCCCTTAACTATGACGTACGTGGTAACTGGGAGTTTCGATCATAACAAGAATTTACTTCAGAGTCATACTGCGGTAGCCCTATATTACTCCAAAACTTCCCCTTGTAGCCATCTAAGAGAAGTGTTATTTGCAAAGAGAAACTCAAGATAAACTTAAGATAAAATATAGAATAATAAAACACATAATAAGAGCCGAAGGGAATGTGATCGATATCTATAACTGTTATCATGAATATTTTAAACACATTTACTCTTCAGAATGGACATTTGAAATATTTATGATCATCAATGTGATTGCAGAAAATTTTAAAACTCAACTAAAGCTTAAACCTCTTATTCATGCATAGATTTAGAGATGTGTTTGAAATATTCGCGGCAGTCATTTGCTCCACGGCCGAGATCTTAA